TTGTTGGTTTCACCTGTTTTTCATAGCTCTACTTCAACCTGTCCTGAAAATTACATGAATTTGGGATACAATCATTACAATCCTGCTTCAGTTTATAATCCTGAGTTTTGTGGAGGTATGTTCTTTCATCTTTGGCTCTTCCATTCCCATTTTTTCCTAAAATGCCCCCACTAAATTATTTATGTTTGATCAACATCTACAGCTTCTGCATTTAACGATTATACCCAGAATATTCCCAGCACAAATGTTGGTTGTGGTGGGATGAACTTGATTTCCCCATTGGGTGTAAAGCAGACTGATCTAGACCTTATTACTTCACCTGAACAAGTATCATCCATCACTGCATGTTCTTATGGAGATATGATATCTGATTCTGAAGCTTTTGATAGTAGAGCTTATTATCAGTTGAAGACTCAATCAAATATGTTATTTGGCAATGGTGAAAAATCCAGAAATGAAGTCGCAATTCAGGCTCAACCACATGTTTTGGAAAGTTCAAATCAAATCTCTAGTTTGCAAGTCCTTAACTCATATATCATGTACAAAGATATGCCAGCAGATTTAAGAAGAGAAGTTCCTTTCCAAAATTATATGCATGCAGCAGAATGCAAGGACATTTTTTGCAATTGCTCCATGTATCTTGAACTGGCATCCCATTTTGACAAGTGTCATGATTCAAATTGCAGTATTTGCGGGCCCGCAAGGTCTTTATATGGTACTAATAAATTTCACTTGGAATCTAAAAAGAGAAAGATAGATGAATCAGAGCCCACACTTTATGCTGATCCGAGTCACACCGAAACACTTTCAGAAGATGCATTATTACCTACAAAATATCAGAAGATGGATACAATTGCATGTAATGAAGATGTTCAAGAAGTAGTACAACTACAAACAGAACTTTTAGGAGCAGATGTCGACTCAAAAGTTAGTGCAAATGGAGAAGAAGAAGAAGAAGAAGAAGAAGCAGCAGCCAGGGATGATGATCAGGAAAAGAAGTTGAATGGTGAACAAGAATCAACAGGGCTAAAACAAAGTGATGGTGATGGTATTACAAACAGTGAAATGAACAAATCAGAGAAGATGAAGATACAGAGTGTGTCTTTAGCTGATTTTTTCACTGCAGATCAAATCAGAGGGCATTTGTTGAGTTTTACCCCTCAGAAGGATGTAGTGTCAGGAAACAGAGAACAGTCAATCGGTCAAAACAGATGCCAGCTGTGCACCATGGATAAGCTTGTATTTGCCCCATCACCTATATATTGCTCATCTTGTGACACCCGTATCAAGCGAAATGTCGGGTATTTTCGATCAACAAATGAAATTGGTATACGCCATTGTTTCTGTATGTCATGTTACAGAGGATCTCACGGGACTAATATTATAATGCGCGGGTTTTCTATTCCCAAATCAAATCTCCAAAAAGCAAAAAACGATGAGGAAAAAGAGGACTCTGTAAGTTGTTGATATATTTCCATTTTATCATATTTTAATGCAGTAACCTTATTTGTCTCTGGTCTTAACTCTTAATCTATTTGGTGTTGATGACTTGATCATGCAGTGGGTTCTTTGTGATAGATGTCAATGCTGGCAGCATAGGATATGTGGTCTGTATAATGATGAAAAAGATGTGGAAGGGAAGGCGGAATATATTTGTCCAAAATGTTATTTACAAGAAATAGAGGATGGAACACGTGTTCCCTTACCAGAAACCAATGCTTTTGGAGCAAAAGATCTTCCAAGAACTAATCTGAGTGATCACATAGAGGAAAGACTGTGTAGGCGTCTGAATCAAGAAAGACAAGAAATGGCAAAGATTTCTGGAATTGAACCAAATGAGGTACCTGGAGCTGAAGGTCTTGTTGTGAGGGTGGTTGTGTCTGTTGAGAAACAGCTGGAAGTGAGACAGAAGTTTAAAGACATACTTCATGGAGAAGATTACCCATCTGGATTTACATACAGATCAAAGGTAACTATTATTATATGCTTTCAGCTTACTCATATGTCTAAATAGGCATCTCATCTGACATTATATATATCTTTTTGGCATCAGTTGATCTTTTTGTTCCAGAATATAGAAGGGGTGGATGTGTGCCTGTTTGGAATGTGTGTTCAGGAGTTTGGATCAGAGTGTGGGGGCCCAAATCAACGCTGTGTGTATATCTCGTATCTTGATTCTGTAAAGTACTTTAGACCTGAGAGAAAGAGTGTGAATGGTGAATCTCTTCGGACCTTTGTTTATCATGAAATATTGGTACTTCAACTTCTTTCACTTTTCTTTTGTTTACTTTATTTTATCTACACTTGCTTGTGTTGTGTGTTGATGAACTTGATTAAAAGTGTCTCTTTTGTTTTTTTTGCCTATCTTATGATGATCATCAGATTGGATACCTTGAGTATTGCAAGACACGGGGTTTCGCCACCTGTTATATATGGGCATGTCCTCTTATAAAAGGAGAAGATTATATTTTTTACTGCCATCCAGAGACTCAGAGAACACCAAAGCAGGATAAGCTACGCCAGTGGTACCTCTCTTTGTCTCTGCACATAAGGTGTTTGGTAAAATGCCTCAAAGTAAGAGTATATTTTTTTTTTTGTTTTTTTATGTTTAGGTACAAGTCAATGCTAAAGAAAGGGGCGGAAGATGGTGTTGTTGTGGACTACACAAATTTATACAATCAGTTTTTTGTTGCTAGTGGAGAGGGGAATACAAAGATAACTGCAGCTCGTTTGCCCTTTTTTGATGGTGATTATTGGTCAGGGGCAGCTGAAAATATAGTTAGGAAACTTGAAGTAGAAGAAACCAGTGCTGGTGGATTGCAAAGCAAGCTACCTAACAAGAGAATCTTGAAAGCCATGGGACAGGATAAACCTGATGTTGCAGTCAAGGATGTGTTAGTGATGCAAAAGGTAATCTTTTTGCTTGCTGTATGCTGCCTCACTTAGACTCATATTCTTCTTTCTTGATTTTACTTGCAGCTGGGCCAAACTATTCTACCTGTGAAGGAAAATTTTATGATTGTCCATTTACAGCATGTTTGCACTCATTGCCATGAAGTGATATTATCTGGGAGCAGATGGTTTTGCAGCCACTGCAAAAAGATTCAACTATGTTCAAGGTAAATGGGCTCTTTGGTTTTTTTCATCTCTTTCTCTAAATAAAAACATACGTGTTTTACTGATGATTATGGTTTCACTGCAGATGTTTTAATGCCGAGAAGAATCTTTCTAGGATTGAAATGCACACATGCCATTCTGGTGAAAAGAATCTACTCTCCGAGGTGAGAGAAACTCCATAAAAACACCTTAAAGATCTTCCGTTTTCTTTTTTATTATTAGTGTTGAAGTGGTTGAGTTTACAGGTTGTGGTGAAGAATGTGACTGTTGATACCAAAGATAAAGATGATGTGTTTGTGAACAGTTTCTTTGAGACTCGTGATGCCTTCTTAAACAAATGCCAGAAATCCCATTTTCAGTTTGATACATTATCCCATGCCAAATATTCGTCTATGATGATCTTGTATCATCTAATCCACAAGCCTCCTCCTATTAAACCAACCTGCACTGCTTGCAACAAAGATGTTGTGGTTGAGCGATGCTGGCATTGTGACATCTGTACAAAGTATAATGTTTGTGAATCATGCTATAAGATGAAACGTGGTGCTTATCATCCTCACAGATTAAATCCACCTTCACTCATACTTGTCAGGGGATCGAAACCTAAACATGGACATCTCCAGAAGCAACAAAAACCCATGACGGTATCTATGATTCTGAACAACTTTCTTTCTTACATTAATCAAGTAAAAACAATGTTTTATATTCCTTTCCATTGCAGTTGAAAGCAGTGCTGGATGTTTTAATGCATGCATCTGAATGTGCGAGGATCCCGTGCTCTTATACAGAGTGTGTAACTATGAGAAGACTTTTCTACCATGCTTCTAGATGTAGTGTCAGGGTTCCTGGAGGGTGCCAATTTTGTCAAAGGGTATGGAGAATATTAAAGGAGCACTCACAAATATGTAAAGATTCTGATTGCAGGATACCTCGCTGCATGTAAGTTGTACCAAAAACTCTCAATCTTTTACTAGTTACTTACTCCAACCCAAAAAGTGTCTTGTAACGTGGTTTTGTTGTTCAGGGATATAAAGAAGCACAAGGAGCTTAAAGCCCGCTTGGCTATGGCTAATCAAGCACCAGCAGTAGCAGGAGCTTCCTGTTACTAAATCACCTCTACAGTAAAGAAAATAAAGTTGGAAGTGGTCACAGTTTTGCACAACTAACATGAATAGATAAAGTTTGAGCTTTTGTCATCATATCAACAACATAAGTGATGTGTTTTTGCTGTGTGTCCAAGTCGGATATATATATATATATATATATATATATATATATATATATATATATATATATATATATATATATATATATAGGGTTTAGAGTAGTTAAAGATAACTAACAGTAGTTGGAGCATTTGGTCTGTGGATGGTTTTTCAGGCACCAAACCCTAGTATGTATAAATCAAGTTTTGAATTTTACATTTCTTGTTTGTGTAATCTCATGGTTAGAAGATGCACAAACAAAGATGTTTTTCATTTGATGTTTGACGCATGGGTTTGAATGTAATAGAATGAACAATCATGCAAAACAAACAAGATAAGACACTAGAAATTGTAAATAGAATGAACAATCATAATAATGGTCTAACACAATGAAAATCAAGTGTGACAATCCAGGTCCAGTGACAAGTTAACTGGCCATAGCAAATTTATGTTGCAAAGCAAAAGAAAAAAAAAAAAAAAAACAATCTGACTGAAGATAGATAGAGATATACCATACCAAGCCTAGGAAACTAGCTACAACGTGACTCCTACATAAACAATTGATTGACGACACTACAAACAAACAAAGAAAGAAACACAACAAACAACTCTTGACGCCAAAAAGGTGGGAGTTGTTTGGACTCTATGCATGCATGATATATAAAAAAAAAAAAAAAGGCTTCTACTTGTTCCTCATGTTGAGATAAATGTCCACAGCTTTCTTCCAATGGAAACTTCACCAGGATGCTCAACCTCCTCTTCATCTTCAGACTCATCATCATCATCATCATCATCATTGTCATTGTCATGTTGGTCCTGAACAGCAGGAGGAGTTCCAGTCTGGTGCTGTTGAGGCGTCCCATTCACTTCTTCACTCAAAGCAACACCAACACCATCTGAGCAATTGTTTCCTGCTACCTCATTCTCCCCATCTACAACTTTCTTCTGATACCATATACCAAATAAATAAAAATTCAGATTAAATAATAATACATGTGTTGAAAACAAGGAGAAAGGAAGCACTACCTCCAGAAACCCATCATGATGATGGTGATCATGATCATGGGGTTGTGAATCTCCATTAGCAAGACTGGCAGAAGCTCCAGGTTGAGGCTTTGGGACTTTTCTCTTTCTCCCAACACGTCCGCTTCCCTTTGAGTTATGTGACACCGACACATCATCTTCTTTGCTTTGATTAGACAAGGCGGGAGCTCCACTGATGATTAACAGGGAAGAAATGTAGGTAGACTAATAAAAGATTATGGCTTACCAAAAATAATTATAAATTTAGTTACTTACGCCTTGGGTCGACGAAGGTTGTATCGTCTAACTTGAGGTTGAGGTTGAGGCGCTTCAACTTTCTGTCTCCTACTCCCAGTTGTGACACTGTCAGAATATTCACTGTAGTCAGGATTTTCTTCAATTGCGCGCTTACGCCTTCCCTTTGATGTTTTTGATGTTCCCTCAACACCAACATCAGAAGAGTGCTCAACACCATTGTTCTCACTAGTTGCCTTTTTAGGACGCCCTCTCCCTTTAGTGGTAGCCCTCCTCGTTCGTTTACTCTGACTCTGACTTTCATCCTTCATATCAGAAGGAGACTGCTGCTGGGATACTTCTTCAATGTCATGCGTCTGGCTGTTGGTGTTTCCATGATCATCATCACCCGATTGCTCAACACCAGCATCATCCACGGATTGAACCCTCTGGACATCAAAAGAATCCAATACAACTCTAGCCGACACTTCCTGTTCTTCCTCGGAGCTCAATATGTATTCTGGTATTTCTCCAACATCTACAAGCTTCTCTTGTGCTTGTGCTTGTGCTTGTGTTGCCCCCTCTGTACTACCATCTTCAACACCGCCTTCATGTACATTCTTCTTCCCAGTTGAGAATATGGAGATCTTTGAGGTGCACTTTCGCAACCAGGTCAAGGTCCCACCAGAAGCAGGAGATCCTCCTGAATTATTATTACCCATGGATGTCCCTACATTTGGTCTCTCTGAAGTACCCTGCCCACCTTCTTTCAAATACCCATCAAACTTTGGGACAGGAAAACTATCTGCATTCTTCATTTCTGATAAGGATTGAAGATCAGAGAGTACAAACTCAGAAACTCTCTCTCCACACTCCTTGCACCCTTTGTTTTCCTCAACGAATGCAACAAACCGTTTCTTTTCCTTGAGAAACTGTTCGCGTTGATCCTTTAACTTTATGCTAAGGCTAACAAGTTCATCAATGTCTTTTTTCATTTCAATCTGCTGCCCTTCTAGATGCTTCTGGTTTGCAAATACATCTTGTTTTTCCTTTTCTAACTGTATCCTTTCTAGCTTCATCTCTTCCATTTCCCTACCTGCAACATCTTTCAAGTACTTCACATTCGCCAGCTCCCTGTCTCTCTCTTCTTCAAATGAATTTTTCGCTTCACGCATGCGGTTCTCAATCTCCGCCTCTTTCCGCTGCATTTCAGTCTCCAGCTCTTGTTTCAGAACTTCAAATTCATGAAGCATTTGGGATTTCTTACTTTCATATTGCTCTTCCAAAACAGATTTCTCATGCTCCATGGTAGCAGCAAACGACTCTTTAGCCAATCTCAGACCTTCCAACTCTCTTTCCACATAAGCTTGTGTTTCCAGCTTCTCGTTATTCAACCTTTCTTCTTCTAAACGGTTTGTTTTTTCTATCTTTTTCTTCTGTGCAGTAAAAGATTCCAATTCCTTCTTTATTTCAACTCTTTTCTCATCAAGATCTTCCCATTCCTTTTCAAACTTCTCCTTCTCCTGCTTCAGATCTTCCCTTACATTCAAAACCGCTTCTCTCTCTTGCCTGATTTTTTCTATCTCTTGCTTCAGTTCAGACTGCAAACGGGCATGCTCGCACCTCTCTTCTTCTGTGACTCGAAGCCTTTCACGTTCTTCACTTATCTTCAATTTTTGCTCTTCAATTTCACTACTTAACTTCTCAAGCTCGACCTTGAGATTCAACAAATTCTCCATTTCACTGCTTAATTCTTTCCTTTCATTCTCTAGGTTCTTCTCCTCAGATTTAAGGCTCTTCTCCTTCTCCTTTAAAGCTTTCGACTTCACATCAAATTCCTTCTCTTTCTCCTTGATTTTCTCCTGTTTCTTTTCTAGCGCCTGTTCTCGTTTTGCAATCTTTCCTTCCAAGTGATTGACTTCAACTTCCTTCTTCTCCACCTCAACAACCCTGTTTTTGAAATCCTCATCCAATGATTTTCTCTTTTGTTCCATTTCCAACTCAAATTCATGCGTCTTTGCATCCAAAATGACCTTGTGTTCATCCAAAAGTTTTTGAAGCTCTACCTGTAAGTACCATGAAGTTGAATTGGTTGTACATATTAGAACCAACACTATATGCTATAATACATGAGTAACAACTAACAAGCCACAACAACTTACTTTTTCTCTTGCCTTAAGCTTCTCCTCCAGTTCTAGTAATCCCTTCTCCTGTACCTCTAACTTCTTCCTCATAGCTGCAGCTTCCTGCAACAAAACACAGATGTTCTTTATCATAGAACTCTAAAAAACAACTGGCCAAAAGCCTAAAACACTTGCCTTTTCTTTTAAGACCAGATTTTCCATCCTGGTGCTAATTTCATCTTCTTTAGTTTTAAGAGCTGAATCAGCCAGGTCAATTTTCTTCTGTGCTTCTTCAAGTTCAAGCTGTTTCTGCTTAAATAATCTATCACTATCATTTGCCCTCTCCTCTCTTTGGTTGAGTAACCTACGGACCTCAGCCAGCTTCTCCTCTCCCTCTTGTAACTTTCTCTCCCACTCCCTCAAGTCCTCCCTTTGGTGAGATAGATTACGCTCATGTGCATCTCTCCTGAAAACAGAAAAGAAATTATATATATAAAAAAAATAACGTTGTGAAAGAATAAGATTTAACAAAATGTGAAGCATACTCGGAATTAAATGACATGCGCTCTCTCATGAGTGAAGCTTCTTTTGACTCGATCTCAAGTGATCTTCTCTGAAGCTCTGATGTCTTCCTGCTGACCTCAGCAAGCTTGGCATCAGCAGCACGCAACTTTGCCTCTACCTCCAATGATCTCCCTTCAACACTAGTAGCCAAAGCATTTGCTTCCTCTAACTTCGAATCAGCAGTGAACTTTATTTCTGCATATTCTGACCGCATTTCACGCAAAGCCTTCTCTAACTGCAGTAGCCAATTGATTAAAATGTTAGCAGTTCTCTTATTTAAGTTGTATTGACAATGACATCTCAATGGAAGGTCAAGTTAAGATGTTATTACCTCATGGACACACTGTTTTTCAACCCCTAATGCTTTCCTCAACCTCTCCTCACGCTTCTCCACCTCAGATATTGCAATAAGATGTGCTGTTTTCTCTCTCTGAAGGAGCTCTTTGGTTTCGGATAATAGTTGCTCATATTGTTCGTTCTTGGACACCGATTCTTTTTTCTCAATGAGAAGAAGGCCCATGTTATATTGATATTCATAGAGCTGTATAGACCAATTACCAGATGAAATTCAGTGGGTCTACCAAATATACTAGACAAACAGATTGAAGAAATAGCATTGACATAAGGAAAAAAAAAGTAAGTAGCAATTCACAATTTTCTCACAAATTCTCTTTGAATCACTTCATTTACAGTTCTCCGTTGAGTTCTCCTAAGACCACTTCCTATAAACAGATAACTGCTATGAACTTACTACGGGTGCGGTTTAAGAACCCAGTTGTGACGTTATATTCACTAAATATTTCTAGAGTAACTGGTGCTTGCTCAAACTTCATCATCCATCAAATTGAGAAATAAATTGGTTTATTAAGACCCTAAACAGAAGCCAAATTATGCATGCTTTTACTAACTAAGTAAGAACGAACTTCATAAAGATCTAAACTCACATCACAAAATCAAGAAAACCCACAACAGCAACAAAAAATAAGATACTTAAGCAGCTTAAAATATAAAAACGTATTAATCTTTACTAACCTCCTTCTCGAGGCTAGAAATCTTATCAATCACAACGTCCTGATCCATAATCCCAACGTTGGACACCAAACCCTCAGGTGTCGACTCACCAAGTGCAAAACCCTTATCCCTAGGGCTCGAATTAGGGCCCGAATTGGCCAAGACGATCCCGTTTTTGTCTGCTCTAGGCGAGAGCCAACCCGACCACGCCTTCTTCTGAGGTGTAACCATCATAATCCTCTCAAAATTGCAGATCCTATATCTTCTAACTTCATAAAGAGTGAACAAAAATCGATCTTTTTCGCCCAAAAAGCACCAGCAATCAGATGTTCCAAATCCCGAGAGTAACTAAACTAGTAATAGAGGAAAGAAAGAAGATCAACCCTAACCGGACGTGAGAAAAATCCCAAATTCCGACGAATAAAAGCAGTTCGAATCCGGTAACGTCTCCAAACTAACTTTTCTCTCTCTCCAAAATGTGCCGAGAAGCCAACCTTTTGGTGGGTTAGCGCGGATCACTCACGTTATTTCTCAATTTTTATTTTATATTCCAGGCTAGCACAGCAATTTCACGTTGAAATTACTATTATGTCCTTCTTACGTTTCAGAGTGATTTTAACGTGCATAATTATTTTATATGTGTCGTTCTTCTTTTTAAAAAGTAATATTTTTATTAATAAAATCTTTTTTTTTTATCAGACAGAAACTCTACATCAAAATTGAGATAATTTATGAATTAAAAAAAAAAAAAAAAAAAAAAAAAACATATTGTTTAACGGTAAACATTGGTTAAAGGCTTAAAGCGGTATCCTTTTTGGAAATTTAACAGGCAGGCCGCCTTTGGGGAAAGAACGTGGGTGTTCGAAAGTGTATGTCAAAATGACGCTTCTGTCCCTGTAAGTGGAAGAATAAAAGTGCACAACAAATAAAATAAAAATTCGAGAAAAGCTAAAGTGTGGATATAAATACTTGTACATTGGTATGGTAAGTTGTACGTTGATCTGTAAAAGGATATTAACTGGCATATTCTTCGACTCCACGTGAAGCAACGATGCCACGAAGTGGATAAGGTGATTACTAATTTTAGTTTGAGTTTACGGACATTTATTTATTTATTTATTTTCTTTGAGTAAATTACATAAATAGTCCATATAGTATATATAAAATTACACTTTGAGTCCTTGTTTTGAATTACTTATACAAATAATTTTCATAGTTGCATTTTTCCCCCTAAGTATAGCCCATGTTTTCAGCTTTTTATATGAATAATAAATATGTGTGACACTTGTGTATTACACGGATTATAAAAAAAGATTTAATATAAAAAATTATAAGCATACATATTTTTTACAATACCATAAATATTGAAATTTTTTGTGAAATCATTTCCTTTAATATTATATAATTTTTGAATTGTTGATAGAGTTTAGCTGTTAAATTGGCTAATATATGCATATTGTCAGAGAATTAAAAATGAAGGATGTAACACTTGTCACATGTATTATTTAATTTTCTAAATTTTAGGGTTTTGATGTTGGGACTCAAGGAGTTGGGAGCCCCGACCCATCGAGTAAAGAACATTTCGAGGATGCATGTTCTAGGCCCTAGTCGACGAGTTGGAAGGTCAACTCGACGAGTAGGTACTGTAAAGGAAAAACCCTAATTTTAGGGTTTGCACCCTATATAATCTCCGTAAGAACCTTGAGGCTGACCTTCCATCCGCCTCCAAACCCTAAGAACGTTTGTGCTAAACCATAATCCCCATTCTCTTTCATTTTGTGAGCTAGAGTGACTTGTGAAGCTTAAAAAGAATGAGATAGTGATAAGAATAAAAAGATCCAGCAAACCAAGCCATCACTCTAGAGCTTGATCATCTTGTGGACTATGGTAAGTCTTCAAGATTCGATTTTTATCTTAGAATATGGCTAGATCTGTTTACTCTTCATTTCATATTATTCCTATTGATTGCATGCACGAGGTTCATAAAGTTTGCAATTTTATGGATCTCCAAGGCAAAATAGCCCCAAGGTGGGCTAGATCTAGCTTTTGGTCAAGCAAGGATGCCATACAAGGGTTTTTAGAGTATATTTCCCCTTTTTGGCCATTTTGACTTAAAGACATGCATGTCCATAAAGCATCCATATTTGGAACGGTTTGAGGACTAGAAACTCCTCTGGAAAGGAGGGATTCTAGATCCCTAAATTTTTGGAATGCATGGCAAGACTTTTGAGCTTTTCAACCTTTGATAAGGGCCTTAGAGCAATCAAAGTGATTTTAGAGGGTAAAGTTGGAAACTTTATCCCTCTGGACACCTTAGGGTTTCAGATCTAAGCCCTTGAGTCCCTTTATTCGGTGAATCATCATAATAAGCAAACAGGGAGGGGGACTCGACGAGTTATCCTAGCAACTCGACGAGTCAGATTGGGTTTCCCCACCTACTGGATATCAAGTGAACTCGTCGAGTTGATGAAACAACTCGGTGAGTTAGCTGGGGTTTGTTCAGGTTTTTTGGACTCCGTAGGAACTCGAAGAGTTGCTAGATGCACTCGATGAGTTGGGGTCAACATGGACTGTTGACCTTAACTTTGAACATGGTTGACCATAGTTGACTTTGAGGGTAATTATGGGATTATGATAAGTTAATATTATGATGCTTATATGAAGTTGAGTTGGAGCTGCGTGTTGGGACTTATTTGGACCTTATCTTGTCAGCACAACATTCTTGAGAGGTGAGTCTCCTCACCATACCAATGGGTCGAAAGCACCAAGGCTAACCCATTTTGTGTGATATGTGGCATACTTGTTGGTTGTAGAGATACATGTTACGATAGTTGGTTATGTTATTGCATTATTATCTATATGGGTTGCTTGCAGGGAAGACCATGGGGGAGCCTAAGGCACTTGAATGTAAGACCATGTGGGGGAGCCCATGGCTTTTCAAGTAAAGACCATGGGGGAGCCCATGACACCTGGGTGTAAGACCATGTGGGGGAGCCCATGACACCTAGGTGTAAGACCATGTGGGGGAGCCCATGGATTTCCAGTTAACGACCATGGGAGGAGCCCATGGCACTTAGGTATAAGACCATGTAGGGGAGCCCATGACATCTTGGAGTAAGACCTTGGGAGGAGCCAACGACATCCTTATTTGTTATATGCATGGCTTATGCGATATTTGTAGCTTTTATGGCTAATATGATATGTGTTATGTGGATTGTATGTGTGGTATGCTCTGGTGAACTCACTAAGCATTAGCTTATAGTTTGTAGATTTGTTTCAGGTACATCTAAGCCCAAGGGCAAGGGAAAGGCTTGATGGCGCGGCGTGCACTCTCTCAGGCGTTTTCTTAAGGGACACTCTGATGATTTGAAATAAAATTGTACTTGATATGAATTTTGAAAACAATTGTATTTGGGATTTCATGTTTGTGGGCAGTATCTTGGCTAATCAAAAATGAAAATTTTCTTTTGAAAATTGGGTCATTACAAGTTGTGTGACATCCCCAAAATCTCGGCCAGAAAAGACCGATTTTCATTTATGCTTTTAAATATTTTCAGAGTAAATCCTTTTGATTTGAAAGAGTTGCGGAATTTGTTCCCAAAAACAAAACATGATAAAACAATGTTTACCGAAGCATTTCATAAAAGAAATGTATTTTCATTATAATCAAAACTCGGGGTGTCATGTTCCGATACATACCAATAAGCATAAACGAATACATTACAAGTCATATAACAAATATAAACATATGTAGACTTGTAAACAAAACAACTTGATGGTTCATCCATCTTACGCCCTTGCGCCACTTCCTTTAATACAAATAAAACTGAGTGGGTCAGGCTTGGGAGCCTGGTGAGCATATAGGGTTTTCAACCCACAATAAATAATTAAATTAATTATTATCAACCAACAATAACCCAGTTACCCATTCCCGTTATTCTCACTTTACGTCCCTAAAATAACTAACACAAGGGACCTAATCTAAGAATATTTTCATCGGGGTGACAACACATGCTGCGGGGTTTCCTCAGCAATATAAGTCAAATAAGGCAACCATGAGGGGGATGGAATACAGCGAATGAACACCCAAGTTCATTAACACCTACAGGTTATGAGCCTGCTAGCGTTCCACTGGACTGTCTAGAAAAGTTCGTGGTCGTCATCTAAATTCCGCTAGATGACTGGATCAAACAACAACGAGGCCTCTCATCTGTTTATTACACACCAACTATCTACCCATGTTCTACCCAACATATTAGTAGATAAAAACATACATTTTATACATATTTTCAAAACCTGTATAGCATGCTTGATCAAAACATTTTCCATATAACAGATGAGGCACACGCACATAACACGTATTTCATATAGAAATAATCATCTCTGTAAGATAGAAGAAAGGGAATATACATTCACACACATAACAACAAAATATACACATAACACGTATCTCGTATAAAATACTTCATAGTTATACGTTATGAGAAAGTAACAACGCATTCACACGTATAAACGACAATAAACTTAATACCCTCGAACCATACTTGTATTATTATTGCGTTTATGAAAGGTAGTATACACTCACTTGATCAGAAGATGATCGGACAGCACTACGACTTGCAGAAGTAGTAATCCACAGCAGATCTGGAAGATCTCCACAAAAATCGAACTTCTCGCGGGCAGAGCTTCGGCTCGGAAACCGCACTTCTCGGGATCTTCGGGATCTCGGGACTCGCTTCGGGACTCGGGAATATTACCGGGGCTTCGAGATGGCTTCGGGGGTAAAACCGCAGAGCTTCGGCACAAAAACGAGAGGAAATTAGCAATGGAACCCGGAACCCTCGCATCCTATTTATAGGAGGCTGGAAGCCTCTCGTACGCGGGGCGTACTGGTGCGAGAAACATCATCGCTTACGTCATCCGAAGCCACTTGCTGCGATGTCGACACTTTCGGAGTACACAGGGCGTACTCACTTACGCGGCGCGTAAGTCGGATCGGATCGATGACTCGCCTTCGGATAAGGCTTCCGAATTTTGATTTAAAAATAAATACAAATTATTTATCAAACTTCGGAAATTCATATCTTCTTCATACGAACTCCGTTTTCGACGTTCTTTATATCCACGGAAAGGTGAGACTATGCTCTACAACTTTCGTTTAGACTCCGTCGGCTAATTTTGACTTTATTTTTATTATTTATTTTTAATAGGTCGGGACATAAATTTTCGTTATAAATTCATAACTTCTTCGTTTGACGTCCGTTCTCGCCTAACTTTTTATTGCTTTGATACTAACAACTAGATCTTCGATTCTCGTTTAGATCACTAAGGCTAAATATCGCTTTAACGTAAATTTCACTTTTTACGTTATCCAGCGTTGCCGGTTCTGTCGCGAAACTTCGACAGGTCATAACTTCCTCGTTATAACTCGGATTTCGGCATTCTTTATATCTTCGGAAACCTTGTTTCAACTATTATAACATTATCTAAAGATATCAAGTTTATTTTACA